GAATTTATTTTTAGTTGCCACATTTACACAAATCTGTTAGACCTTTAAGAAAAATTTATGACAGAATGGAATAATTTTTGACAGATTGTTAGCATCTTTAGTTATTTAATATAAAATACTTTCAGTTTTCCCATTTAGGTCTAATTTTAGAAACTAAGATTGAGAATGAGAGAAAACTTCTAAAAGAATACAAAGAATATTTTTTTCTTCTTTTATAGAAAGCTGTTATACCACTTGTAATGCTTACATCAATATTGGGTCATACATTTAAACTCAAACATTGACTGTTCTTTTACATTTTAAGAAAGGAAGGAAACTGTGCTTCTGTCTCATATCAGCTCCTTCCATGCTTGTGTCCTTCCACACAAGGCACCGGAGCACCTTGCTGCTTATCCTGCCATCCACAGATACTCCACATCTATCCTATTCTAACAGTAAAATTATTCACATGAAGATCATTGTCCGGTAATTTTTAAGCAGATATCATTAGAGTTTTGTACTTCTTTTTTTCTCTTTGAAGTTGAGTACAGAGAAAAAGTAGGCAAGAAAAATTTAATATGTTGACCTGGCTGGATTACATAATAAAGTCCAAGGGAAGAAAAATGGGGAACCTCAGTAGCCTTTGTAAATACTTTTAAAGTCCTAGTAATGTTAATATCCCTACAACTCCTGATGATTGCAGTGAAAATGATTCTCATTCTATGGTTAGACAGTTAAGCATTTCCTCAAAAGAAATAACAAAGAGTTAAAATCCTGATTTTTAATTTAGCATCTTATTTGTTAATTTGATTATTCAGCTTTTTGTTTGCTTGCACATTTGTTTTTCTTTTGATTACCTTGATTTATATCAGACTTAGTAAATACGATGTTTTGTGGTTGTCATTTCTTCTGAGATGCTGAAAGTTGGATTTATTCCATTTTTCTTTTACGTTTTGCTCAAAAGTTAACTCAAATTTTTAAAAAGCTATTGAAGATGGGGTTATTTATGAGAAGCTAAGAATAGCAAAGGAACAGGAATTATTAGTAGAAAGGAGTCCATCAGGAGTATGTTTTGTTCTCATGTACAACCATTTAAAAAAATTGATGAGTCCACATAGTTAATATCGTTAATCTTCTGGGCACCAATATAAATTGAAATACTATTTTAATATCATTGTATGGGAACTTTACCTGCTTTGAACAAACATGCCCTGTAAATGACTAAATATATGAGAGAAGGCATCCAAACACCCAGAGAAATTTTTTCTAAACTTGCAAATGTTTTGTAATGAGATTTTTTTCAGACCCCTTTAAGAGTAGAAAGGGACATGTTGAGAACAAGATAGAAAAAGAACATTAGCATTGGAGTGCTTTCCTCTGCGGACTGGGTCACCAATCTGTAAATTTACATAATACACAAAGCTAGCATTTTTCTAATACATTCAAATATGTGTTATTTTTCAATGTTTTATCTTTCTGTCAGCAAAAGGTTATTTTGTGATATATATTCTAGGTCATTGTGGAAAAGTTCATACATGGTATGTCACTGACACACATTGATAGGAAAGGCTTGCTTCTGCCAAGCCTTCTTGAAACTTTAAAAACTTAGGATGAAGGGCAGATTGAGCCCAAGTTAAAATTTCTAACTTTGAATGTATCCCCATAGAAGATATTTTATTGATAACATTTTTATTAGATTATTTTTCCTTTTTATTCCTCTGCAAATCTTAAACACGCACACATATTTTTATGTTTCCATTTTGCTGAAATATCAGTCATTCCACATTATAGATTGATGATAGAAATAACTTGATACGAATGTGTTTGCCCAGTATTCTCCATACTTAATACACAACACTATGTTATGTAGCAGGTAGTGAGTTATTTTCAGGGTTAAAACTCTTGACTCCTTAATAAACACAGACTTTTACTGATGGAGTTTAAGGCCCTATCAGAGGAAAAAAGAAATGATGAAATATAAAAATAAAAATGATAATTCTTTATGGAAATGAAGCATAATTATATGATGAAATACTTATTCCCTGTAGGAGATAGTGACCTTATATAAAATAACACTGTGTTGGTGCTTTTAACTTGTGTGTTCCAAAACAAAATTATATGTAACTTGTAGAGGTATAAGAGATTTTAGCTTTTTACATGAGCTGATTAGACTGCAAGCTAATAAACATAGAATATTTTTTGTATGTCAGAAAACTAAATTGATGTCCTATAAGTTTTCTACTTTTTATCATGTTAGAAAGTGACCATCCGCCCCCAAAGCAACTATTTTTTAGTATGTTAGGATGGTTACTTTAGAGAGACCATTATTTTCTCTTAAGAAGTGGCATACTCACCTGTTACCACATGATTTAAAAATAACAGCAGTGACATCCAGTAATTTGCAAAGAGCTTGTTGGTACATTATAGTAGCTTTGTTCTCTGATGGTGATTCTGGTAAAAGCATGTAGTCGCACAATCGCAAACTGCTTTCAAGAAACTCTACAATACTTTTATCTCTGCCATTCCGCCAGTCCCCATCCTCCCCAAACTTCTAAGGGTTAAAAATGACTAGTAGTGCCTCAAAAATACCAGTTAGAGTTCAGCAATAGTAGTTCAGGGATGGAAATAAAAGCTTTCAAAGTAACCTTATATTCTCAGGTAATGCAACAGAGCATCATGACCAGAAAGAACAATTCTGATGCCAGTGACCCAGATATCATGGGAAAATGCATGTTTGTTCAGGTATAGGGCAGAGGAGAGTCTTCCTTTCTAGAAGTAGGTTACTGCAGTTGTACCAGATGCAAGTATGAAGGGGTGAAACAGTTTACAGAACCAGATTTATTTCCCCTCAGAAGCTTTTTATTTAAAACAACGTCTTTATTCCTGTCACTGGAAGTCTCACTGTGACTGGTTGACATTTTAGGCATGGAAGTTTTTTGTTGTGGGAATCATGAGAAGTGTTTTAAGAAATGTTAATGGTAGAAGAGGTTTTTTTTTCATATGTAGTAATAGGCATTACCATGGATTTTGTTCAAAGAGGGAGACCAAAGGGACCAATCATAGTTGCCTCTGATCCAGATGTAGTTTTCCTTAGAGGAAGATGTTAAGACAAACCTCAGGAAATAAGATGTCTGAGAGACTATTAAAAGTGTCATAGGAACTGGGAAACTGAGATTACCAAAGCAAAGTCTGAATTTTTTTAAGATTAGTTTAGGGTGGAGGGCCATATAGAAGAGTTAGTATTTGCTGAGTACTGTGATATGGGAAAGTACTGCCATGGGAACTTTACCTGCTTTGTCTGATATAGTGGTTCTCAGATTTGAGCATGCATCAGAATCACCTGGAGGATTTGCTTCAAAACACAGATTGTTGGGCTCCATTCCCAGAGTTTCTGATTTAGTAGATCTGGGATGGGGCCTATGAGTATTTGCTTGCACTCATAAGAAGTTCTCAGGTGGTACTATATGAGCTGGGGACAGTGCTTTGAGACAATATAATCATTAAAATAATCCTATGAAGTAGACATTACTATTTCTATTTTACACATGAGTAGTCTGAGCTCTGAGAGGTTAAATAACTTAACCAAAAGTCACACAGCTAAGAGGTGACAGCACTGGGATTCAACTGCATGTTTCTTTCTGACTCCAAAACTATCTCTTTCCATCCCACCATACTTTATTAAAAGATGAAGGGATAAAAAAAATTGAGCAAAATAAGGTAGAAATAATGTTTGACACTGGAGACTGACTTAGCAGAGGGGAACATCAGAGCTCTAGTTTTTACTGTTTCCTACTTGGGCCGTGATCTTGACCAGTGCATGATGAGGCTACTGGTCTGTGAATTAGAGAAAGGAATTTATCAAAGGTGGTTGGCAAAATTGCTTTGTGAAGCTCTTGATAAACTAAAAGAGAACAGAAATATGGGATTGAAAAGAAGCTGTGAGGTTAATATTAGAAGCCAAGTATGAAAACTTATTTGTGGGAAACAGAGGAGAGCAACTTCTTTTTAATGGCAGTGACAGGAAGTAATGGCAGTTACTAAATGTGCCCTCAGACATATGAGCAAGAGAAAAGATTTAGGTTTGAGAGGCTATTGGTATGTAACTCCATCTTGGTCTTTTTTACTGAACAAAAATAGACACATCATTTTCACAAATTTAAGAAGAAAAAGAGACAACAGAACATCAGTGAATATTATTGCATTAGAATTCAGGCGTCCCCAAACTTTTTACACAGGGGGCCAGTTCACTGTCCCTCAGACCATTGGAGGGCCGCCACATACTGTGCTCCTCTCACTGACCACCAATGAAAGAGGTGCCCCTTCCTGAAGTGCGGCGGGGGGGGGGGGGGGGCGGATAAATGGCCTCAGGGGGCCACATGCAGCCCGCGGGCCATAGTTTGGGGACGCCTGCTTAGATGATTAGCTATGCTTCCCTTACGCCGTCTACCTCTCCATAGCATTGTGGCTGAGAAAGCATTTTGAAGGCTTCATTCTATGTCACCTCGTTTTCATCCATGCCATCTCCATTTGTTTGTACTATTAATCCCACGTCTTATAGATTGGTGCAAAAGTAATTGCCGTTTTTTTGCTATTGAGAGTAGTGGCAAAACTCGCAATTACTTTCGCACTAACCTAATATATATATAAACGTGACGTGCTAAACCATTTTAGTATTTTGAGATGTTTGTGCTGGTACTATTGCTTCACTTTGAAATTTCTAGAAAAAAGTTTTCTATCTGAAAAGAACTGACTTGGATTTTGCCAGCACATACTTCAAAAAGGAGTTGATTTTTATTGCTCTTATAAATGTTGCTCTCTTTACAAAACTCTGGAACTTTGAACTGATTTGACTTTTACTCCAGAACATAGTCTCACATCATCATTTATTACTTAAGGCAAAATGCATGTTCATATTGGAGGACTTGAATGGGGTGGAATTTAAAGGAAAATCTGTCATTACCTAACAGACTGTCATTTCATCATGATAATTTTTTTTTTTTACTGTTATTTTATTTTTTAAGCAAAGTTAAACCTCCTCCACAAATTTCACCCAGCAAATCGATGGGCGGAGAATTTTGTGTGGCTGCTGTCTTTGGTACATCCAGGTCATGGTTTGCAAATAATGCAGGTCTGAAAAGAGAAAAAGGTATGTATTTTGGCTGAAAAAAATAAATATTCTATCTGTAGTTTTTGCTTCTTAAGGAAACTTGCTACCGGTTCCCCTAGAATAATCTTGTACCCAATAGTCTGGAAACCATTTTTTTAAAATGTAATTAATCTGTCACTCTTCAACTAATTACTCAAGCGTAGTCAAGAAGAAGAACTATCCTCTCAGTATGAACGTTAAATGAATTGCCCACTGAGTGATGATTGTGTTTTGTTTTGTTGGTGTCAATCTACAGGTGATCTCAGTGCTGTCAATTCTATACCCATTTTATACCATTTACATTTTTACAAGATATTTTCACACCCTTGTCTATGAAGTGTAGAGAGGAAAAGCCTCATTGTCCCTGATTTAGAGATGAAGAACTTGAGACCAGCAAGTTTAAATATCTTAGCTAAAAGCAGTAGTTAGTTAGGCAATAGAATCAGAGTTTGAAACCAGATTTTCTAGTGTTAAAAATCTTAACATTAAAAAAAAGAAAATCTCTGCCATGTTTTTTTTGGTGGTGGTTGTTTTGTTTTGTTTTTGAGACAGTTTCACTCTTGTTGCCCAGGCTGGAGTGCAGTGGCACGATCTCAGCTCACTGCAACCTCCACCTCCAAGGTTCAAGTGATTCTCCTGCCTCAGCCTCCCGAGTAGCTGGAATTACAGGCACCTGCCACCATGCCTGGCTAATTTTTTTGTATTTGTAGTAGAGATGGGGTTTTACTATGTTGGTCAGGCTGGTTTCGAACTCCTGACCTTGTGATCTGCCTGCCTCAGCCTCCCAAAGTCCTGGGATTACAGGCATGAGCTACCATGCCCAGCACTCTGCCATGTTTTAAGAACATGATTAAGAAAAAGGAGAAAGGAACAGCATGCCACTGAGAAATAAGGCTCAGCTTTTGTGGTTACTATTGCTCCTTTGAATTAATATACAATAGTCCCTCCTTATCTGTGGAGGATACATCCAGGATCCCCAGTGGATGCCTGAAACCTTGGATGGTTTGGAGCCCTATATGGTACGATGCTTTTCAGTCTAATAACCAAGACAGCTACTATTGGACTAATGGGCTGGTAGCGTATACAGTGTGGATATGCTGGACAAAGGATGATTCATGTCCCATGCAGGACGATTGGGACAATGAGAGATTTCATCACACTACTCAGTGTGTCCTTTGAAGTTTATGAATTGTTTATTTCTGGAATTTTCCATTTAATATTTTTGGGCTGCAGTTGACCATGGGTAACTGAACACACACCTAAGGAGGGACTACTGTAGTTATTATGTTTTAAATCCCTGCTTTGATCACTAAGGTCCAAACCTAAAATGTTTATAGGATTAATGCTGTGATTCCTTATTGCTTCTGTTTAGAAGAGAATGCCTACATTCATAAACCAAGCATATCATTTTGAATGTTATGATTTTCCCCTTAATATTTTAGTATTATTAAACTAGGTCACAAACTGGTTGTTACTAGGGCACTTCTCTGAGGAGTTCCACAGGCTGTATTATTCTTGGCAAAATGGCTCTCCTTTATGCTAACATTGGCAGTCAGACATGAGCCCTTTCTCTTCTTATCGCCTTTCAGTGACCCTTTGCTTCGTAATAGGATCTCAGGCACAGCAGGTTCCTTACCTAAGTGGGAGAGGATACTGTTAAGTATGCAAGCCTTCCATTCCCTTATCCCATCTTTATTTTTTTTTTGTTACCTCCTTAGGTTTAATGATGCTATCGAAAGGACTTTTTGTTACTAGTTAAAACCTTCTGTGAAGCTCGATTTCAAATGCTTCTCCCTTCTGTTCTAATTACCTTTTTAACCTGCTACTCCTTTATGTTCCGCTGGCTGATCATTAGCCATTTTCTCAAATCAGCTGTAATTGATTCGCCTGACAGAGAGATAAGGTGACCCACCCAACATTCATGAGTGATTTTATATGCTCCTAGGTTTACTGTAAAACCCGAGAGAGAGAATTAAACCTGTTTTTGTAGTGAGTACATGTGTATTCCTTATAAAGTCAGTTGATTAGATCCACATTTAGCACCTGACTTCTCAAAGTATGGCTGAACTTCATTTACCACAGGGGCCAGTGATCCCATGGACAGAAAGAAGAGGATTTGGGGGAAGGGGATGCACATGCATATATGTGTATGTGTGTTGAATAGACTTTATTTTCTAAGGGAGCTTTAGGTTCACAGTCAAATGAGCAGAAGGTACAGAGATTTTCCATATATACCTTCTGTACCCACACATGCAAAGCCTTTTATCAGTATCCCCTACCCTGGTAGGTGTGTTTGAACTGATGAACCTCCATTGATACACCATATGTTTATTGTTTATTTTGAACCAGAAATTTAAGTTCTAAATTTAAGTTTTCTGAGAAAAAATAGATGAGACATTAGGATGATTTAGGAATACAATTAACCTTTCATGTGAGTCATTTGGTACATTCAGGGTAACTAAATCTTAGTCCATATGTTATTCCTTTTCAGTTAGTCCATTCCCTGCTATCATTCATTTTTCATAATGTGGGACAAATTACATTGTAAACAAATATAAAAGTCTATAAAGTCTTTTACTATATTAGGATTTGGGGCAGAGTCCTATCATTCTTGAAATAAGCTGCTTAAGATTGAAAATAGTCTGATATTATAGACATTTTCATATGTGAAAATGTCTAGCATGTACTTATACGAGGCAACCTTTAAGCAAGGAACAAGCACCATAAAAAATTCCTTTCGGCCGGGTGCGGTGGCTCATGCCTGTAATCCCAGCACTTTGGGAGGCCAAGGTGGGTGGATCACATGAGGTGAGGAATTTGAGACCAGCCTGACCAACATGTCGAAACCCCATCTCTACTAAAAATACTGAAATTAGCTGGGCATGGTAGCAGGTGCCTGTAATCCCAGCTACTTGGGAGGCTGAGGCGGGAGAATCGCTTGAACCTGGGAGGCAGAGGTTGCAGTGAGCTGAGATCGTGTCACTGTACTCCAGCCTGGGCAGCAAGAGTGAAACTCCATCTTAAAAAGGAAAAAAAAAAAAAAAAAGAGAAGAAAGAAAAGTTAGAAAAATTAAAAAATTCCTGTCTTTTTATTTTCTCTGAGTAGCCTCAAGAGGGAACTCTTAAGGTCATTAACTTGTAAAAATTATTCTGTGCTCCTTTTGTGCCATCATGACACATCGGGTTCTGTTTCTCTGTTTGTAGATCAGTCCAAACAAGTTGTAGTTGAGTCCCTGTACATTATCAGTTGCTACGGCACCTTAGTGGAGCACATGATGGAGCCACGACCCCTCAGCACTGCCCCCAAGATTAGTGATGACACTCCACTGGAAATGATGACATCGCCTCGAGCCAGCTGGACTCTGGTTAGGTAGTACCTCCTTTCTTTTTTTCTTTTTAACAGCTTCGTTAAGGGTATATAAGATTAAAAGTGTCCAGTTTGATAAGTTTTAACATGCATATAGCTGCGAAATCATCACCACAACTAACATGGCAAACATACTCATCACTCCCAAATGTTTCTTTGTGGCCCTTTGTAATCTCTCCTTCTTTTGCTCCTCTTTGTCTCTACAGATTAGTTTACAGTTTCTAGAATGTTATATAAATGGAATCATACAGTATGTAATTTTTTAAATCTCACTTTCATCTAGCAAAACAAGCAATACATCTTTTTTTTTTTTTTTTTTTTTTTTTTTTTTTTTTTTTTTGAGACAGAGTCTCACTCTGCTGCTCAGGCTGAAGTGCAGTGGTCCAATCTCGGCTCACTGCAGTCTCCACCTCCCGGGTTCAAGTGATTCTCCTGCCTCAGCCTCCTGAGTAGCTGGGACCACAGGTGCCCGCCATCACACCTGGCTAATTTTTAGTAGAGATGGGGTTTCACCATGTTGGCAAGGCTGGTCTCGAACTCCTGACCTCAAGTGATCCACTCTCCTCTGCCTCCCAAAGTGCTGGGATTATAGGCCTGAGCACCTAGCCCTTTATTACTTTTTCATTTGACATAACTTACATACAATAAAATTAACCTATTAAAAGTAACTTTTCACAAAGTTGTGCCCTTATCACTGCAATCAATTCTTATCACCCTAAAAAGAAACCTCATACCCATTAACAGTCACTCCTTATTTTTCTCCAACCCATCATACCTAGGGAGCTGCCAGTTTACTTTCTCTATGGATTTTCCTACTCTTATTATTTCATATAAGTGGAATCATACAATAGGGGACCTTTTGTGTCTGGCTTCTTTCACTTAGCTTATTTTCAAGATCTATCCATGTTGTAGCATATATATAAGAGCTTTATTCCTTTTTATGGCTCCATAATACTCCATTATATGGTTATACCGCCTTTTGTTTATCCATTTATTAGTTGATGGATATTTCTACTTTTTACACTACTATTAAATAATGTTTCTGTGAACATTCATGTGCAGATTTTTGTGGGGACATGTTTTTTAATTGTCTTCTGAATGCACCTTGGAGAATACCTCTGTTTGAACTTCTTTCTCCTTGCACTTTTGTGTTAAATTTTCTCAGACTTGTACTTCCGCTATTTGCAATCTCATGCTCATTGAAAATAGAGAGTAACATTGAGATAGCCATTAAGGGGAATAGAAACTAATATAGATAGATTTGAAGGTTTCTCTGAAAGTGATTCTCTGAGATACAATGGTTAGCCCTTGTAGGAATGTTTATTAAGAATCAAAGTCCATATCAAAAGTACATAATGATTAGAATCTTTATAAGCTATAACCAAAAGGAAAAAATGGAACCTGGAATAAAACCTCTTTAATATAGTTCATCATCCAGGAGAGAAAAAATTGTTCCTGACACGTATGGAAGGAAACCCAAAAATGGATATGAAAATGATCCCTGTCCTTTTGACATTTTAAAATATTCTTATATTGATTTTTGGAGGCTCCAGCATTCTTTACAACTACTTTACTATGCTGGATTGACCTGATCAATATCTGATTTATCAAGCTTATTTAGGAGTTGGCAGATCTAATTAAAATTACTGCACTATCGTTGAAATAGTGACTTATTTCAGAACTCGGATGCTAATTTGATCTATAATAAGTTATCCATTTACACAGCTGTGTTTTATTAACCATTTTACCTACTTCATTTTATTTTAAAATATACACATATTTTAAGAATAGAAAGGTCAGAAATTACATAAATTAGAACTACTTAGTCATAACATTTGAATTTTACACCTGTTTAATCTTCTGAATGTCTTGCCTATCCTGTTGGAGGGTCTTCTGCTGTTAATCTCATATTGACTGCATGTTATTTGTATGAAAGACTGCCACCTTTTTATTTTTTCATAGCAGATGGCCTTGTGTTTCAGGTTTCAGCACATTCATTTTAATGATTACAAGTTTATTTTAATGATCACAAAAATAGTATGAGTTTAAGTCAGTGTTCATCAGTGATGACAGTCATGGTGATTTACATCCCATCTATTAAGCTTAAATATTAATATTCTTCTGCTGTTTCCTTAGAACCCCTCAGTGGAATGAATTGCAGCCACCATTTAACGCAAACCACCCTCTGCTCCTCGCTGCAGATGCAGTACAGTATTATCAGTTCCTGCTTGCTGGCCGTAAGTAGTTCAGATTTCTTTTTCCTTTCATATGGTCTATTCAGATTTCATCTTAAAATGCTAGCTTTTAAAGCAAACATTACCACTGGTCCATAGGCCATAGGCCTTCAATGATTAGTCTGAGGCAAATAAGATATTTAATACAAATATAAGCCATAAGCTTTAGTATACATTATGTCTCTGACTGCTTATATTCTGTACCTATGAAATATATTCCTGTAATGATAATAGTTAAGTTGATAGGTAATATCTGGAGGGCTCAAAAATTAAAACAAACACAAAAACAACTACCTGAAAATACTAGGATATAATAAAAATTTCATAAAGCTTGGGATCTAACATTAAAATTTAAAAAAAGCAAAACTTAGCATGGTTAAAAGTGCAACTGAGAAAATTATACCAGCAGGCTTTTCTTTTGGTAGAATTTTACTTGCAGTAATGAGGTAAAGATTTCAACTGTATTTGTTTGTTTGCTTACTTTTATATTTAAGCATTAACATTTGTAGAGACTGAACCAAGTTCATTGACCTAGATATGGCCTTTTTATATGGAAAGCATTTAAAGGCAATTTAATATTTATTATCCAGTTTGTGTTTATAGAATTAAAAATGGTTTACAATTATAATTCAGTTTTGTAGAGTAGACTGAATCCTTAATTTGATGGCTCTGAGTATTGCATGTTTTAAAGAAAATTCTTAAAAATCAACATTGACATGTTTTTAATGGAGCTTTGTTGTATTTAATGTATTTTCTTGCCTGGTGTATTAGAAAACATGAATTAAAATAGTTGTTGAATGATTTTATTTTTATCTTTATAATGTTTTATATATTATACTGGAAACAAATACTTTATAGACTTTGCTTTCAAGTTATAAAACTCCATAACTGTAATCAACGGTTGGCTGTCTTGCTCTCTCATATAGTTGTTGAGCTTCTTCTAGTGCATTTTTATTGAGTGCCTACTATGTGTGAGGCAGCTGTAATTTAAAGGTGATTAGTATATCACCTCTGTCCTCAATTAATTCACTGATTCAGAAGACAGATGTTTAATAATAAAGTAAAATAAAATGGGGTAGGTGTATCAGTGGAGGATTATAAATGGAACTGTGAGAGCAGTGACATGCGTTGCCTAAGGCATCACCGAAGGGTAATATGTAGTGGTTTTCAGATTGATTCAAGAAGCAGTGCGTATAGAAGTTGTTAGTTTCTAGATTTTTAAAGCATTTATTTAACTATCATATGAACTGGAAAAATACATGACATGAATATGATGTGAATTAAGAATCATGAGTACATTTTTCATTACTTCTCAAGGAGCAAAACTAATTGTTGAATTAAGCATAGTTGACTCTTTCAGAATTAATATTGGGTTTTGTTTTGTTATTTTGATACCTATTAAGTCTGTTTAATAGATATAACAAGTCTGAAATATTTACAAAAAATATTGGGGAAAAGATATAGCTATATCTATGTCTTAATTGTTTTTCATTCCAGTGATGGACCTTATTGACATTATACTATGGTTGATTTTAGCTGTCCTAAACACCTTTGTCTAATTCTCAGAATGACAAAAATCCCCAGGTGCATAATCTAAGAACCACCACTGTTGGCAGTAGTAAGCCATCACATGCTTTCAAGCATAGGAATGACACCATCAGAATTGTATTTTAGAAAGATCATTCTGGCAGCATTGCAGCAGGAAGTTGAGAGGAAGGGAATGGAGGCTAGGTGATCCTAGGGCAAGATGCGACTTTAAATCAGTGCTGTATTATCGAGAAGACAGGACAGACCTGTGAGATGTTGAAGAGTTGGCATAGAAAAGAATTAGAGGCTGGGCATGGGGGCTCACGCCTATAATCCTGGCACTTTGGGAGGTTGAGGCAGGCAGATTGCCTGAGCTCAGGAGTCTTGGACCAGCCTGGGCAACATGGCGAAACCTCGCACACACAAAAAAATCAGCTCGGTATGGTGGCGTCCACCTGTAGTCCCAGCTACTCAGGAGGCTGAGGCATGAGTGTTGCTTGAACCTGGGAAGTGAAGCTTGCAGTGAGCCAAGATGGTGCCACTGCACTCCCAGCCTGGGCGTCAAAGTGAAACTCTATCTTAAAAAAAGAGAATTTGAAACTAAGTAGTCACTAATTATTCTGTGGTTTCTAACAGCAGGTTCTTGAATAATGTCATTTTGTTTAACGTCAATTCTTTCTAAAGCTGATGAGAAAATATAATCACTCCCTGCCTGGGACCATTGCCTTTTCTGGAGTTTTTACGTTCTCCCCATGTCTTCATGGGTTTTCAGTGAGTACACAGGTTTTCTCCTTGATACCAAAGGTATGCATGTTAGGTTGATTGGCATGGCTAAATTGCGTCTCAGGCTGAGTGAGTATGGGCATGCGTGTGTGAGAGTGCCCTGCAATCAGATGGTCTCCTGTCTAGGGTTGGGTCCTGCCTTATACCCTGAGCTTCCAGGATATACGCTCTGTCCACCCGTAACTCTGAATGGGTGAATACAAATTATTGCAAAATAAAAATTCTTAAAATATATGGTAAATCACACAAATGCACAATAATATTAAAATTTTCACTTTGCAAATGTTTATTCCTTGATTTAACTAACCAGCACTTCAAGCTCCACTACTCAGTGATTCACTAAAAAATGAGTAAATAATTTTATTACTTGTTTTGATTAATCTTTATTAAATGTATATATAGCTCACGTTTATTTTGACGTTTAATATTAAAGCATTTGTGGTCTTTATTCAGGAGTTTACTAATGTTTTTGACCAGAACACAGTATGCCATAGGACCTTAACTCTTGTTTACATCAGTTAGCCAGTTGTAAAATTGGTTTTGTAATACTTCATTTCACTTAAAGTCACAGTTTGCATGAACTTATCAATGATGTTAAATGAGGACTTACTGTATAATGCATTCCATTTTAGACCTTTTGAGTTCCAGAGGGAATAATGTTGGGATAAAGATGAAAAGACCTGGGTTCTAGTTCTAAATCCAGCAATAACTTGATAAATGTAGGTATCAGTTATTATACTTGCTCTTATAGAGATATTATAATGATCAGTGAAGTGATGCTAAAGTCCTTTTTAAAACTGTAAAATAGTTTATACGTTTAAGCATTATTATAAGCTTTTGTTTCTTATCTCAGAAGAATGTATTTTCAAATGATAGACTTCTGGGACTTTTAGTACAATTAACAAAACTCTTTTTGTATTCAGCAGTAACAATGGAATACCTGGCCCAGGGATGGTGGCTCATGCCTGTAATCCTGGTACTTTGGGAGGCCAAGGTGGGAGGATTGTTTGAGGCCAGAAGTTCCAGACCATCCTGGGCAACATAGAGAGACCCTGTCTCTACCGAAAAAATTTTAAAATTAGCTGAGCATGATGATATTCACCTGTAGTCCCAGTTGCTCAGCAGGCTGATGTAGGAGGATCACTTGAGCCCAAGAATTTGAGGTTTCTGTGAGCTGTGATTACACCACTGCACTCTAGCCTGGGTGACAGAGCAAGATCCTGTCTCTTAAGTAAAAAAGAAAGGAATATCTATTCTGTCTATGTGATTCTGATCATACTGTCAGATAAAAAAATATCTTAGATAGTAATCATAATGCTTCTTTACATTGAGAATGGAAATACAGATGGACTTTATTTTAAAGGCAAGTTTTTGGCCTGGCGCAGTGGCTCACATCTGTAATTCCAGCATTTTGGGAGGTCAAGGTGGGTGGATCACGAAGTCAGGAGTTTGAGACCAGCCTGACCAACATGGTGAAACCCTGTCTCTACTAAAAATGCAAAAATTAGCTGGGCATGGTGGCACGTGCCTGTAATCCCAGCTACTCAGGAGACTGAGGGAGGAGAATCTCTTGAACCCTGGAGGAGGAGGTTACAGTGAGCCGAGATCACATCACTGCACTCCAGCCTGAGCAACAGAGCGAAACTCTGTCTCAATAATAATAATAATAATAATAATAATAATAATAAGTCAAGTTTTTTTTTTTTTTACATAAAGAATAACATATCTGATTGAGAATGCTGGACATGCTGGTATGTTACATGACTGAAGCAATGAAATATGCAAACCATGGACATTTGGGTCAGAGGAGTAAGGCTTAAAATACAATTGATAAAAGCAATACTAGGCCAGGTGTGGTGACTCATGGCTGTAATCCCAGCACTTTGGGAGGCCAAGGCAGGTGGATTGCTTGAGGCCAGGAGTTCAAGACCAGCCTGGCCAACATGACGAAACCCTGTCTCTACTAAAAATACAAAAATTAGCCAGGCCTTGTGGCACACCTGAAGTTCCAGCTGCTTGGGGGAGGCTGAAGCAGGAGAATCACTTGAGCCTGGGAGACAGAGGTTCAGTGAGCCAAGATGACCCTACTGCTCTCCTGCCTGGGTGACAGAGTTAGTGAGACTTCATCTCAAAAAAAAAAAATTGATTATATATATATATATGCAATACTGGTGCCACTTTCAAGAGAATGCCTTTACTTACCCATCTGTTACACACTTTCTGCAAGGTAAAGCCATTAAGCTCTACTCTCTCACTTTCTCCCAAATTTCCCTTACTCAAGCCATTTGGAAAGATACTACACCTCTTAAAACAAGTATATTTTACCTGGTGCCAGAAAGTTTTTGGTTTTCCTTAGCCATGTTGTAAATTACCTCATATTTCCCAACTTGAAGACTTTAATAAATGTTATTTTCAGATATAGTGATTTCTTGGTGTCATGGGAAATTGGTTCCAGAACCTCCCTCAGATACCAAAATCCACAGATGCTGAAGTCCCTGATGATGTATTATTTGCATGTGACCCACAGACATCCCCCTGTTTGCTTTAAGTTATCTTTAGATTACTTATGATACCTAATACAGTGTAAGTGCTACATAAATAGTTGTTACACAGTATTGTTTGGAAATGATGACAAGAAAAAATTGTACATCTGTTCAGTACAGACACAACCATCTTTTTCTTTCATGGAATAT